TCTTTCCCTTCCAGGCAAGTGTATGTGCCTTAAGGCAAAAACCTCTTCAAAAAAAAAAAAAGAAAGAAAGAAAAAAGAAAGAGAAAGCAGATACAAATTTCCTTGTTTCATATTCTTCAAATACCTTTCATCAGCATCATCTGTCCGTGCAAGCCTTTTCTCTAAAATGCACGGTAACTCCCAGGAGCTGTCGTCCTGTGAGGACTGTGTCTGTGTAAGGAAGGAAGGGCGTTGGTTTGCTCTAACTAGAATTTGGTGTCCCGAGGCACTCTTCACTGTGTCGAATTGGAGAGGGGGTCAGGACAGGGAGTCAGCGGCCACCAAGGAGGCCACTGAGTATGATGACCCCCACGTGCCCTAGACAGCTTCCATGTTGTGTTGGACCACGATCCGTGTCATTCCCTCCTGCTCTCCTTCCCTTCCTGGCATGCAGGTGCAGGAAGGATCCCACAGGTGGAAGATGACCCAGGACTGGCTCGTGTCTACCCGATTTGCATCACACCTCTTCTGCTTGTTTCTGCCTCAGAGCAGCAGAATCGGTGTGTGAGACACACGGAGCGCTCCTTTGCAGAGAAAAAAAACTCATCCTTTTTCTCCAACAGGATGGAAAGACGGCAGAAGACCTCGCCAAGTCGGAACAGCACGAGCACGTGGCAGGGCTCCTTGTAAGACTCCGAAAGGTGAGAAATTCTGTGCAAAATTCAGCCAGAAATTTTATACCTGGTTTTATGTGAAAAGATCTCAGTCCTTTCCCTGAGAATGAACAAAAGGAGGCTTTGGAAACACAGGTTTTACCAACAGGCATCTGTCCCTGTCCTGTTTGCCTACCAGTTGCCTTCCATACATAAGCTGCGTGTCAGGTTTCTTTTCCTATGTCTGGACTTGGGAGTCATTTGGTGTCTTCACAATTGCTGGCCTGGTTTCTCTCCTCTCACCCTCTCTGTCATTACACTCCTCATAAGGTGGAAGGAAATGACAGTGCTGACTTTCTGCCTCTTTCCTTCTCCATATTTCAATCTCCAAATACCACTTTTGCTCCCATTTATCAAACAATATTACTCCGTGGCTTAAGGAAACATGACACAAATAATTACAGGTGTACCCTTTCCAGCCCACATCATAGCAGTGTGGATAGCAGACTTCAGAGTAGTCATACCCTTTTTATTTTTTTTTTTTCATTTTAACAAGAACTTCATCATTATGACCTTTTTATGGTTATATAATAGTTTCTTCTTTTCTTCTTTTTCTTTTCTTTTTTTATTTTTTAACATTTGATCCCTGTACAACTTTACAGTATACAAAATGAATTTTTCCATCATGAGCACACTGTACATTAGTTCAGTACCAGGTACATTATCATCAATAAATAATTTTCCATTTTTGTGTTCATTAAATGTTCTGCTTCCCCCACCCCCAGTTCCCTCCTTCATGCCCCCTATTATCTACCCTCTTCCCACACTATCTCTAGTCTAAAGTTGCTCTGCATGCTTTTATACCTTCCGATCTTTCAGTTTTTGCCTAGAGTACAGACATTTGGTATATATTAAGTGGGACATACAATGCCCTTTTCTTATCCTGGCTTGCTTCACTTAGCATTAAATCTTCCATAATTGTCCACTTTCTATCAAATGCCAGGATCAGCATTTGTCACAATCGGTAAAACATAGAATCAACCCAAATGACGAAGAACAGATGAATGAATTGAAAAAATGTGGCACATATACACTGTGGAATATTACTCAGTTATAAAAAAAACAAATAGTCTTACCCTTTAAGCTTGGAACTCCATCTGTCGCTCTATCCTAAAGAAATAAAAGAAATACAGAGGAAAAAAAAAACTTTAATGGACAGAGATGTCCTTTTTTTTCTTTTTTTGGAGAGGTTTTTGCTATAGGGCGCGTGCACTCGCCAGACAGACAGAAAGCAGGAAATCACCCCCCCGGGGGGATGGCCATGCTGCAATCCCTTCTCCTCCATTCTCCTCTCGGGATCTTGGGCATGCACGCACACGCGCCCGGCATGAGTTTAAGCCACCGGGTCCAGGGCTCGAACTACAGTCTACTACGTGGGAGTCCAGCGACATAGCCATTACACTAACTGCTGGATCCCAATGGACAGAGATGTCCACTGCAGTGTTTTTTATAATGCACTAATAAAAAATGGGAAGCACAAGATGACCTGCAATAATGCTTAGAAGATTGTCATAGAGCTATAGAATAGAATAGAATGGTTTTGGTCTTTAAAATATTTTTTAAGAGGTTTAGTAACAGAAGTTTCATGCTTAAGGTGTCCCTGGATTTCAAAGCAGTTATTAATTTTGTGCCCAGTATAATCTTTAATATGTTAACAGGGGTACTTTTCAATTTTGCTTACAGAGTAAGTAACATTTCTTCCTTAAACATATGTTTGTTTTCTACATTTTACACAATAATTTTTAAAAACAAACTTTCTAGAAACAATAATAATAAGAAGAATATAATAATTCAGTTGGGGGGACCAGCAGTTGGTGTGGCTATGTTGTTGGATTGCCACATAGTCGACCGCGGTTTGAGTCCCGGATCCAGTTACTTAAACTCACGCCAGGTGTGTGTGCATGTGTGCCCAAGATTCCTAGAGGAGAATGGAGAAGGAATTGCGGTGTGGCCATCCCCCCTGGGGGGTGATTTCTCACTTTCTGTCTCTCTCTCTGTCCTTCTGGTAAGCGCACATGCCCTGTAGCAAAATCCTCTCAAAAAATAATAATAATAATAATAAAATTCAGTTGGTTTAAGTGCTAGTTGAAATAATAATATATAATAATTCAGTTGGTTTAAGTGCTAGTTGAAAAAGTGTTGTCCAAAACATACTCCAAATGGCTCATGAAGTTCTGTCATAGAAATTGAAAGTGGCCACGGGGGAAGTAATGATGTCATAACTTCCATGGCCAGTTTATGTTTGAGTTTTCACAATTGCCTTCAGACCCTAATAGGAGGAGGGTAACATTTGGAAAAACTTCTTTCCTTATATAGAATGTAGATCTGGAAAGACCCTGCAGTTTAAAATCCGTGTGTATAATTGAGAACCCTGCTGGGTGGTAATGTCACCAATAGTTCATGTTTGCACCATGTGCTTTGGCGTCTGTGAACTGGCCACAAGGGCACAGAGCTGATGACCCCGAACTGAACTCTCACAGGAAATTCAGTCCCCTGGAGGGATTCAGTCTCTCCTTCTCTCTCTCTCTCTCTCTCTCTCTCTCTTCTGTTGAGACTTTTGAAGAGAATGCATGTGCTCACCAAAGAAACACAGAGAGAGACAGAGAGACAGAAAGCGAAATCACTCCCAGGGAGGATGGCCACTCTGCAATCCCCTCCTCTCCATTCTCCTCTCAGGATTTTGGGCACGCGCACACTCATGCCCAGCATGAGTTTCAAGCCACCGCATCTGGGACTTGAACCGTGGTTGGCCACATGGGAGTCCAGCAAGTCCAGCACCTTAACCACTGAACCACCTGCTGGCTCCTCTCATTCATTCTTGAAATTCCAGAAAGAGATCATTCTGGAAAAAGCTCCCTAGCCTCACTCTCCTGTTCATACAGGAAATGTGTAAACTATTGTAATTGAGGCTTAGTGTTTTTCTACTCTGTCGTGCTGTGGACTGTCTCATTAGGAGTGAGAATTGGGGTGAGAAAAATAAGGGAGACCTTTCTGTTCACAAGAAAATCAAAGCAAGAGCTGGGGAGGGCCAAGTAGTCATGGTTAACACGGTCAGTGATTCCTTCTTACGTGAAGTTTTCTAATTTTTAAATTCACTTGATGTGAAGCCAAACAGAGCCTCCTTTGCAGCCTCTGGCATTCTCTGGATTACATATTATAGTTGGGAGTTCTGCATTTGGGTGTGGAGTCTTGGGATTATAGACATAGCGTCCAGATACAGGGTCTGTTTTAAATCAGCTACCCTCTACAGCTTCCATCAAGAGTGAAAAGACGAAGTCTGCTCTGTCCTCAGGCTTGAGCACAGATTGTCTCCTGTTCATTGTTGGTTGTTGGGAGAAAGAACGCCGTGAGACAGTGAGGGGCTGCGTTAGCAGGCTCGATACCCTTACCAGGGCGATGCGCATGCCTGCTCAGGAATCCTCACCTTCCAAAATCCCACCAGCAAAGATCCTGACCCTTGCAGCATCCAGTGCCTGCCTAGAGTCCCAGGTGTCAGCAGCTCTGGCTCAGCTGCCACAGTGGCCAGCACTTCTCACCTCTGGAGCCAGCTGGGAAATCCAGAGGCCACATCCTTCCTTGGCCTGGAGGCCTGGTCCCCATCTCAGCAACTTTCGTCCTAGAATGGGAAGCCATGGGGATATGCAGTGGCTCATTTCAAGCAGAAAGCCACCTACAGGCCAGGACCTGCAATCCAGCAGGCCCATCGTGCCCCTCAGGAACCGTCTTCCGCTGGCAGAGTGACGAGGACTTTTGTTGGCCCGTGCTGTGCTCTGCTGCCCAGCTCTGGGGTAGGAACGCTGCCTCCTAGTACTGAAGACTAGATTGCCCTGGGGGGCAGGGGGCACACCCAGGTGGACAGTGCAGTATTGGGATGGGAAAATGAAGAACTTCTAATTTAAAAAGATATCAAAGGAAAGGAGTGAATGTAAGCCAGGACTGGATTGGATCCATAAAGTGAAAGGTCTTTTATTGGAGCCTGCAGGTGGTGCGGTGGTAAAGGCACTGGACTCCCACATGACGGACAATGGTTCAAGTCCCAGACCTAACAACTTGTTTTCTCATTTTCCCTTTCTCTCTCTCTCTGTCTCTCTCTGGTCAAATAAAATAACAATAATAATAATAATAATCACAAATAAAAGTAAATAAATAATTCTCTTTTTTTATTTGAGAAGTTTTTGCTATAGGGCGTTTGCGCTCGCCAGAAAGACAGAGACAGAAAGTGAGAAATCACCCCCTGGAGGGATGACTATACCGCAATCCCTTCTTCTCTCGGGATCTTGGGCACGCACGCACGCACATGCACCCGGCGTGAGTTAAAGCCACCGGGACTAGAACTGCGGTCAACTACCATGGGAATTCAGCAACATAGCCATCACGCCAACTGCTGGTCCCAATAATTCTTTTTAAAAAAGAAAAGAAAGGTCTTTTCTTACTGAATCTGTTTCCTAGTCTCTGCAATGTGCTTAGATTACTTTTGTAATTAGAAACCTATTGTAGGTAGGCCTGGCTCTGTAGACAGCGGGTCAGCACTGTGCATAGACAGTGAATCCCACAGAGTCGATTGTAGTTCAGATCCTGGCCCCAGGAGCTTGGAAAACATGCTGGGTGCATGTGTGTGTATTCCGGGAATCCTGACGGGGTGGAGAAATGGGGGAGCAGGGTTTGCCATATGACACGCTCCACTGGGGGATGCTTTCTCTGTCTCTGTCTTGCTCTGGAGAGTACATGGCGCCCTCTAGCAAAACAATAATAATAATAATAATAATATATAGATAGATAGATAGACAAATATATGTAAAAGTTGGGTGCGTCAGTGGAGGGCAGCTGAGTGTTTGCCAGTGTTGGGTCTTGAGTTTAGTGCAGGGTGGGTTCTTGCAGAGTCCTAGTTCAGTTTCCCTTTATTTCTGTTCATCAATTTCATGGCACCTTTGTTTTTTAGTGCCTACATTTTTAAGAGAGGGAGGGAAGCGGGAATATTCTTTTAGTGCTTTATCATTATCCTGTGATTTTTCTCTAATGGAGACATCAAGGCAAAGAAGAGTGAGTCATTTAATGCCTCTGATTAAAGGACCACATCCCCCTTAGCACCAACTCGGTGACATCACACTGGGGTCTAGGAATCATCCATGTGGGGGAATTTACACCACAGGAATAGGCAGACTTTATAAACTGGGATATATACCCCCGAAAGGTATCTTACCAGCACCCCACTGGGTTGGGATCTCTGAAAGTGCCACAGCTACACCCTGGCTAGTGGGTACCACGTTATTATAGAAAGGAGGTCACCCCTCTACTCTACCCTGAGCTCACTTCCGCCAACAAAACAGCCTGAGCAGCACTCCACACCCGCCTGAAACTGTCACTGCTTAGCCAATTCCAATTCTCCTCTTAGCAAAAGGAGGGACTCTTGTTAGGACAGACGGGGAGGGGCTGCATTTAGATTTTACATCAGCATCATTTTTACTAACTATTGGTGCAGGCTCCATTCTCACCTGATTTTATAATAGTTTCAGAGGTTGTGGGGGAGGGTTGGCTTGTTTTTATTTTGTTTGATTATCCTTCTAATCGAATTCTTCACAAGGGGATAAGTAGTTTGCTTTTCCTAAGCCAAAGACTAGACAATGAAAAATACTGCCCAGGAATATTTTAGAAAACAAAACAAAGTTGAAAGTATGCTCAGAATTTAAAATTCCCCACAAGGAGGCTGCATTTGCATATGCAGAGTTGCTGTCCCCAGCCACACAGGGTCTATGCCTGCCACCTGTGGGAAGCCACTTCCCTCTCTGTGCTCTTTTTTTTTTTTTAAAAAGAATTATTTAGTTTAATTTATTACCATTATTATTATCTTTTAATTTGGCTAGGGAGAGAGGCAGAGGGAGAGAGCAAGCCTCCAGGTCCAGGACTTGAACTGTGGTCGATCATGTGGGAGTCCAGCATGTCAGCCATCACGCCACCTGCCGGCCCCACATCTCTCTCTGCTCTTACCTGGTTTTCCCAGGTTGTGCATCGGCTTCCTTCTCAGCCTGTGAAGTTCAGTCATCTTTTCTGATGAGAAGGTGAAAGCTGAATTGCCAGGTAGAAGAAGGTGCTAGAAGGAAGGAAATGAGAAACCCAGAGACTGACCAGGGCCTCACAGAGCAATGCAGTCACCACGTCATAGTCTCCCACTTGGGGACTGAACAGGGCTCACGGTGTCTACTCTGTGCCGAGGCTGTTCCAGACACCAGGGAGACCACAGTGAGCAGAAGTAGGAGGACCCAGGTCTGAATAAGAAGAAGGTTGCCACACAGCGTAAGTCAGGTCAGGGGCGGGCAAGCCGTGGCCCACAAGTGAAAGCTGGCCCCCTCCTTGTTTGTAAGTGAGATATGATGGGCTCACAGCCACAATCCTTCACTGCCCTTGTCTGAGGCTGGTTTGCACACCTGGCAGAGCTGAGTGGCTGCAGCAGAGACCATTGGCCCTTTGCAGGAAGGGCTGCTGCCCCTGGAGTAAGTGCTGTGCAGGGAGAGCAATGCCATGGAGGGGTACAACGGTGACGGGGAGCATGCTGCACACCGCTGATCAGGGAGGCCTCTCTAATGCCTTTAAACCCTCACCTGAAGGGCAAGAAGGAGGAAGCAGCCAGAGGAAGTGCCGGGAAAACAGAGGATAGGAGGGCAGTAGAGGGGTGTGCAAGGGAATAAGCAAGCCGAGGCAACTGGATTGGGCCGCAGCTTGAGCACAGGGGTCCGACAGGGAATACTGGGTGAAGGGAGGAGAGGCAGGCAGAACTCTGTAGACCCGGGTAAGGAGAGTAGGTTGGTCCAGGTGTTTCCATGTGTTTGAAAGATGAAAGCTAGCACACGGGAAAGTACGGTGTGTCCTGCACACACTCTCCTGTGACCCCTTTCTAGGTCTAGATCAGCGTTCTGCACTCCCTGGAGTTTGGTGCCGCTCTCTCCTCTCCCCAGCCTGGCCTCCCCCTGCACTGAGGAGGTCTTGCCCCTCCCTTGGACACGGCAGGGCTTATGTGGGCCTTCCAGCCACACCCACAGACTCCAGGGACACACCTGGGGACCATTTCCAAGCAAGCGGCACCACCAAGA